CACGCGCCAGCCCACGCCCAGGCCAGCCCCGGCCCCGGGAGGACCAGGCCCGCCGCCGCCGCCGCCCGTAAACGGGCACTTCTGGCAGCCAACGAGGAGGAGGACCGAGAGATCCGAAAGCTGGAGCGGTGCCTCGGCTTGAACAAGCGCAAAAGGAAGGGCGACGACAGCTCCGTGCCGCTCAGCTTTGCTCGCGATGGGCTCGACTACATCCTGGGAGCCCTGGGGTCGGGGGGAAATGGGGGCTTGTACGAAAGCAGCAGTGAGGAAGAGGACGCTGGGCCGACGCTCCCCGAAAGCGACTTGGAGAGTGACACCGAGGACGACAGGGTGGAGGACGAGCAGGAGGTAGAAGCGGGAGCGCAGAGCGAGGAAGAAGAGGAGGGGGACATGCGGGAGGAACAGCCAGAATCCGACGAGGCAGGAGGGAGAGCGGAGGAGGCGGCGGCGGGGAAGAGAGTCCGTTTTGCAGAGGATGAAGAAAGGAGCGGAAACTCCTCGGAGGACGCTGACACAACAGCTCAGGTGTGGTGCACGCGGCCTCGTCCCGCGAGATTCCCCTCAAAATACCGTGGGTGCAGAGCGTGGGACAGGGTGACACAGTCGATGTATTGGTAATTGAGTTGAGTATGGGCAGGTCGGGTTATTCTGTCCACTTTTTTTTTTTTCCCCCTACTTTTCCATAATGAAGAGTTAAGGGAGAAAACCTCTCTAGAGACCTTTTTATCCCAGGGATTTAAGGGCCAGTCCCACCAGTTGTCCTAAGGGGACATCTGCATTCCGAGTTTACTGCCACAGTCTCCAAACCTGACTGAGTCCCCTCCCGCTTTGCTCTTGCCTCTGCCCTTCACTAGGCCTTTTTCTGTCCCACTGCTGCGGGTTTAAAACACAGAGCAACCTGCATCACTCCCTCCGGTACAGTCTCACGTGGAAGGTGGAGTTCAGAGTCCACGCATAGCAGTCACGGCCCTCACCCCCGCGTGCGCCTGAAGTTAGCCCCACGAAATGGCACGCTTCCTATTCCACAGCTGTGACCGGCGCCCCTGCCTCATCCGCAGCCTCCCGCTCTGCGGTTGCTCACCCACCGTCAGCCATGGTCCAAAAACATTAAAAGGAAAGTTCCAAAAATCAACAGTTCTTAAGTTTTTTAATCACGCACCGTTTTGAGTAGCGTGATGAAATCTCTTGCCATCGCACTCCGTCTGGCCCCAGGAGGTGAATCTCCCCTTTGTCCGGCTTATCCGTGCCGTGGACGCTGCCTGCCTGTCAGTCACAGCCGTCTCAGTTATCAGGTGGGCTGTCTCGGTATCTCGGTGCTTGCGATCAAGTGACCCTTGTTTCAGTTAGCGATGGCCCCAAAGCTCGAGAGTAGTTAGTGATGCTGGCAGTTCGGGTATGCTAAAGAGAAGCCGGAAGGGCTTCCTTCGAGTGAAAAGGTGTGTGTAGGAAAAATGTGCCTGCGGAGTTCGGCGCTGTCTGCGGTTCCAGGCATCCGCGGGGGGTCTTGGGGCACACGCCCCGGGGATAAGCCGTAGGTGCACGCACTGCCTTCATCTCTCTCCCTGGTGCCTTGGCCTTGGCCTGGCCCTTCCTGAGCAATCCTTAGCGCTGTCGGCGCCTCTCTCCGGACATTATTTTTTTGCTATTTCTAAGTTTCTTTTCCCTACCTACTGAGGGGTAACTGTTATGCAGTGAGAACTGATGGGTGTCTCGAGAGTAAGTTTCCATGGACATCAGTGTGCTTTCTCCAACTAAGTCTATACTCCCAGCAGCAAGGGTCAGCTTTGCAAATGTTTCTACAGGCTTGTCACTCAAGTCCACCTGGAGTGTTGGACGGCGATCATGGTTTGTAACCCTCCCAGCTGACAGTCAAGGAGATAGTGAGCAGTCGGTCCGTTTTGATTCTATCGTATAAATTTAGATCTAATTTTGAACAAGTTTGAAATTATTTTAGAATACTTGTCCTCCAAAACTGGTGGTATGTTTAACTTAGGTGTTTGTGTGCTGCAGTGCCCGCCAGAAATGAAACCTGGTCACATGTGTAGAATGTCAGGCTCTGTCGGCAGGGCCTGGAGGGGTCTGAGTACTACACAGGGGCGAACAGGACGAGGAAATGGGCTGGCGCCGACGTGAACGGTGACATCCACATGTGCCCAGTGGACTGCCTGTCTAGGACTAGTCTAGGCACGCAGCGAGTGGCTGAGGTTATTAAGCAGCCACGGTCAGTAGTTACCGCTTCTGCCAGTTTGAGGGAATTTAAAAAATTTAACGTCTGAAGGTGAATATAGCAAGGAAAAACGTGCGATTTGTTCAATGTACATTTTTTTATAATTTATTTCTGTCATTTCAAGCAGCTTCTTTGCGAAGATGGTGAGAAGTACATCCCACCTCACGTGAGGCAAGCTGAGGAGACCGTGGATGCCCAGAAGCGGGAAGAACGGGAAAGGCTAAAGAAGCACGTCAGAGGCCTGCTCAACAGGTAACCCTGCCACACGGTTACGTCTTGTCACTTAAAGACATGGTCTCTTCTGAAAATAGAGAAACTGCCCCAGGAATTGAGCTGTAAGTGAGGGGTGGGGCCGTGGCCATTGGTTGGCTCCTTCTGTCCCTGTCTCGATGAGCGCGACCTGGCCAGGCAGGCCACCCACCTTTTCTCTTTGGCCGTTTAGACCCTTCAGGGCTTGAAAGCAGAGGCAGTGTGCACGTGGTTATGCCGAGATTTCCCAGGAGCGGGGAGCGGGGCTGGCCCACGGTGGCCCCCCCGGGCAGTCCGCCCCCTTGCCCTTCCCCAGTCTGTGTGTGGGCAGCTGTCTGCAGCGCCTCCCACCGGAGGCCTCGGTTCCCCGGCCCAGAGTCAGGACACAGCTCCCTCATGCTGCCCCTCTGTGGTCACTCCCAACCCCCCTCCCACCCCTATGGCTTTTTAAAAATTTCTTTTCAATTAAACAATGTGTCCATGGTGCATCCGGGGATTTTACCAAACTGGCCGTTTGAATCCTCAGTGTTAGCACAGGAGCGGTACGAGTCTCCGCGTGCACTTGCGTCCTTCCCCTGCCCCGTGAACAGGCAGCTTTTCTCAGTGTAAGGGACTAAAGATGTTTATGCCAGCTGAAGAGTGGAAAGTGGGAATTTTTCCTGACAGCACGTACCGATGAGCCGGGATGGTTCCCGGCTCTGCCGGAGGACCGCGGGTCAGGACCACTGGGGCATCCCCAGCACGTGCCTGTGGTCCTAGGAGCCCTGTGTGTGCTTCCCAGGGGCGCAGTTCAGCTGCATGACTGCCAGACTGCTGAGAGCAGCTCATCGTGTCCGGTGAATGCTGGCTTACCGGGGCGAGAGCAGACTCGTTTGTGAAGCATCGTGTGCGTGAAATAGGACACATCGGTGGTATCGAGAGCTTTTTCATTTTCTTTTAAATTGACCTGAAACATCTTTGCTGCTCTGTCTTTAATTGTCACAGGTTGAGCGAGCCCAACATGGCCTCCATAAGTGGACAGCTGGAGGAGCTGTACATGGCCCACAGCAGGAAGGACGTGAGCGACACTCTGACGGGCGCCCTCCTGAGCGCCTGTGCCCCGGCTGTGCCCGTGCCCGGCAGGCTGGTGATGGAACACGTCCTCCTGGTCAGCGTCCTTCACCACACGGTGGGAGTCGAGGTAGGGCTGTGACGCTGTCTGCGCGGGGCTCATTCGGTGGCAGGCCTGAGGTGCCACTCGGTCTGTATTCTTTCCTTCTCGGCCACGTTCAGCACTTGACTTTGGCCATTTTGCTTTTCTTTTCGGCCCCCTCCAGCATGTCCTTGTTAATTCCGATGTCGTGGACTGGCCGTCACCTTGGTGTCAGCCACTCTGACACTGACCTTTTTCAGATGTTGAGAGTACAGTGGCTCGTGTACGCTCACCAGAGAGTTTGTGCTGGTGGGGAGATTGTTTTTATAAGTAAGAAACCACCAGCACGTGAGGTACAGATGACCTCCAGTGAGGAGATGTGTGACAGGCCTAGTCTGGCACACACCAGCCGTCACCTGGCCACCTCCGCGTCCTCTGTACAGCTGGTTGAGCGAGTGGCATCAGCAACGAGTGTGTTTGGAGCCTAGCCCGAATAAGCGCTATCGAAGGTTTGTCACCATTGCCTCCTGCGTGAAGGATGGAGAGTCTAGGACCCTCTGGGCGCGGGGCCAGGGACAGGAGAGGGCACAGGCTCCCAGGCCTGTGGGCGGCAGGACCCTTCGGCTCCACGTGCACCACTGTTCAGGGACTCGCTCTCCCGAAGCACTGGCTTCCACCCTGAGAGCCACAGACACATTCACACACCACGCGGAGTCGGTCGCGGGACGCGTCCCCAGGGCCTATCCTGCCCCGATTCGCTGCCATTCCAGGCCTGCCTTAGTGCCCCTGGTCACCCCGCGTCAGACCAGGGCACTTAACCGCCAACTGGCTCAGCGCAGGTGGCATGTCGTGGCGTCCAGTGGAAGCCGTAGTCCCTGCCCCCGCTGCATACCAAGCACTCAATGCACTTGAGCACGTGACATCCTAGCTTCTCACTGATGGCGTAAAGGACACAGAGTGACCCATGCCGGGGCCACGATGGACCGCCAGCTCACACGTCCCCTGCAGCGCCTGCCGGAGCAGGGCGAGCTTCCCGACGCCGCCTCCGTTAACACCTGCTCTGTTCCATGGTGTGGTGGGCGGAAGGCCCGTGCAGGGCTCGGGGAAGCAGAGGAGGGTCGTGGGGACCTGGCGGCAGCCACTGCATCACCGAGTCACTCCAGCACCAATATTAGCTCCCTGCGGGCTCACGTGAGCACCCCCAGTCTGAGTTCCTAGGCAAACTCGAAAACTCCGCAGCGTGCATGTCACTCCCCGTAAATGCTGTGCTGAGTCACGTGAAATGGAATCTGACAGGTGTTGATGCCATTAATTGCATTCACGTGCTGAGAACATACCTGAGTGTATCTCACGCCTGAACTTTCTCGACGTGTTCGGAGTTCTCCCTTTTTGTAGTTACGTTTGAACGTAACGTGGGGGATGTAACAGGAGCGTGAGCTCCTCAGGTCTGTAGAGAAGGCGCCAAGCGCGGAGTTCCCAGGTTCGACCTGTTACCTCCCAGGCCTCAGACACGAGAGAACACACGCGGGCTGTCACCGCCGGCCCCCGTGGAGTCACTGCTCCCTCCCGCCCCTCCCTTTTTCTGGGGCCTCCGAGCACTTGTCTTTGCAGTCTAGTAGTGACCTGTGCATGTCACACTTTAAGCTGTGTGGGTGACCTCGGCACTCACGAGTTTACCTGCCACTCGCATTTGTAGAACCAGCCCTGCTTGGCATCCTGCGGCTCAGCTTGACAGGTCTCAACCTGCCTGCAGCCCCGCGAGTCTGCTCTTTTCCTGGGTTTCCTGTTCCAGTCAGAGCTGGCAGCTCCTGTCACCCAGACGCTTAATCCTTCTCCGGTGGCTGGCCGCACCTGCCAGCTCTGTCACCAGCTCCCTCTTGTGCCCAGTCTCCCTCCCTGGGCCAGCACAGCTGCATTGTTTGGGTCACCAGTTCTCGACTGGACCGTCACCATTACACCACGCGTCACCCTGACCTCCCGCCTCCCTCCAGTCTCAGCCTGACCTTGAGAACGGAGTGCCGGTCAGCAGCAGTACGGTTTAGAGACATGGACGGTGCGCTCTTACTGTTCCTAACGATTTCAGTTCTCCAGGGACCCAGTGGCTGCTGGCCGGAAGCAGCGCCCTGTTGGCTTTACAGGCGGGAGGGGGGGCTCGCGTAAGGCGGGAGCACGCGCTGCTCCGTGCTGTCCCCTTC